AAACTTTTTGAAGTCTAAAGATTTAGTCTTCTGGGGTTACTTAGCAAGGATATAAATGGAAAGAGACAGCAGATTTATTTTTCTTTATAGCATTTGTCTACCCAGACAAGCTCTGATCTGATGCAGTCTTTGGTTTCCAGTCAGGCCTTTTATCTCGTATTTTTTCAAATACAGCTGGGGAGCCAGCACACACGAGAGAACAAGGGAATCACCTGACGTGAAGGGTGCCTAACAGGATTGAGCTCACCACCATCCTGGCTCCTAGGCTACAGATGTCACTGAAGTAATGGTACAACGTAAAACCGCAAAACAGAATTTGTTTTCAGTATTTACACAGAGAAGAAACTTGAGCAGATCTTCACTAACAAGTCACATTTCAGATACTGGTAAGCACCTTTATTTCAAGTGGACAACCCAAAAGTCAGAGCCAAGCTCTTTCTTCCCCAGCTATGCTTAAACCAGATACTATTGGTAAGATGCAGGTCAATTTTTGAAACAAGGTTTTACTCTGAACAGGATGGTTGAAGAGGCCAATTTCTAAATCTGTTGACTTAAAAAAATAATAACCTAATGTCAATGATGCATCTTTTAAGAACTTTCTCTCATTCACTGGTCTTGTCTGTACGTGGAAAAACAGCAAGTGAGATTCCTTCCCAGCCACTCACTCATACCATACCTCCTCATGTGGCAAATACAATGGAAATTCTTCTCCCCCGGCAGCAGATGACATCTTTCTCCAGCAAATCTCTCAAGACATCCTCTCCCCTGTACCTAATTCACACCTGTATTTTGAAGGGCTTGCTGTGTGCTAGAACTTACCTACATTGTTACTGTCTTCTTACTCTGTAGCCTTCTCCACAGTTGCTGATGTTCCCAACTCTTTGCAGCTTGAACCATAACCTCTAGCGTTGCTTCCTACCCTCAGTTCATTCAAATCCACCCTTGGCAGATGCCTGGGAGATTGAGCCAGTCAGTGCTATGAACTACTATATTCAGCGGAAAGAAAAACTGTCACTAACCCAAGCCATGAACTGGGACGTGCATCCATATACCCTGTAATAGCTTCCTGTCCTACAATTTATTCTTTCTGAGCTGACATCTGAGCTACCATCCAAATCCAAGCCTGACATTC